CTGCCGCAGGTGCTCGCGCACGGCCGCGCTCACGGTGCCTGGCTCGGGCCGGGTTTCCGAAGACGCCGGCGAGTTCATGGCCGCCCTGGGCGTCTGTCGTTGCTAGGCAACCACCACCACCACCGCGGCGGGCTCTCCAGGGCGGGCGCGCGCTCGGGCCGCCGGGGGCGCGCGGAGAACCCCGGGCCCTCGGTGGCGCGCTGGCGGTCCCGAGGGAAAGTCTTCCCTAGTAGAGGATCGTCCCCCAGGGGGCGATGGCTCACTTTCCCCCTCTCTGTCTCTGCCTCTCCCTGGCAAGCGCCATGCCCTATGGCAAAACCTAAAATGAAAGAAAAAGCTCGTCTATGTGAAGCGTCCGAGTCTGGGTGTTCCTATATTCTCAGGGTACCCACACGGAGAGCTTAACTCTCGCTGTACTCTGATCTTCGCCCTTTCTCCCACCCCTAGGAAACCCTGTCTCCATCGAGCAGTCTCTCCCGGCTCTCCCAGCCGCAGCCTCCGGGAGCGGTCTCTGCAGCTCGGCCGAGCCTCGCTGTTTCCTGGAGAGGAACGCCCCGCTGTTTGTCCTGCTCACATCTGTCTGGCTCTCACTTAGCCTTATGCTTCCCAGGCTCCTCCAGGCAGGCTGTCCGAGCTTCGATCCTGTGGATGGCCAGGTGAAATTCCAGCGGCGGGCCGCCACATTTGTTCGCCGGTTCGCCGGTTCATCAGAGGCGACATCAGGGGCGCTTCCACTTTGGCTATTCTGAGCTATGAACACTGTAAAGTGTGTGTGCGGGCATGCCTCCTTTTCTTTTTTTCCTTTTCTTTTCTTTTATCTTCTTTTTCTTATTTGCCAGAGTGTGCATGAACACTCAGAGCCAGAGAGAAAAGGGAGAAGGCACACACACACACACACACACACACACACCCCATGGGGAATGGGCACACGTCGGTCCCTTCACCTCCAAGTCTCCTCTTGAGATTTGGGGCACAGACCACACACACCCAGCATGGTTTGCAAGCCACCGGTCCCTTCATAAACGTGTATTTTCATTTCTTTGGGGCAGATACCTAAGAATGGATGGAATTGTTGGGTCAAAGGGCAACATTTCTTTTCTAAAAAAGTTTTTGTGGTTTTTTTTTTTTTCTTTTTTTAAGAATTATTTACTGGGACCAGCAGTTGGCTTAGTAGCTATGTCACTGGACTCCCACGTAGTTGACTGCAATTCGAGTCCTGGACCCAGTGGCTTAAACTCACGCTGGGCGCATGTGTGTGTGTGCCCAAGATCCCGAGAGGAGAATGGAGGAGAAGGAATTGCGGTGTGGCCATCCCCCCCTCGGGGGTGGGGTGATTTCTCGCTTTCTGTCTCTCTGTCTCTCTGGCAAGCACACATGCCCTATAGCAAAAACCTCTCCAAAAAAATAAAAGAATTATTTATTATTAATTAATTATTTAATTTTATTTATTGGTCTTCAATTTGACCAGAGAGATAGAGAAGGAGAATGAGAAAGCAAGCCGCCAAGTCCAGGACTTGAACCACGGTCAACCAAGTGGGAATACAGCACCTTAACCACCACTCCACCTGCTGGTCCCTTGTAGGGGAACTTTCAAAATTCTTTTAGAGAGAGTTTTTGCTAAAGGATACATGCACTCGCTGGAGAGAGGAAGAGAAAGGGAGACATCACTCGCCCGTGGGGGATGGCATGCTGCTATCCCTTCTCCCCAGTTCTCCTCTTGGGATTTTGAGCACACACCCAGCGTGAATTTCAAGTCACTGGTTCTGGGACTCAAACCATGGTCGACCATGTGGGAGCCCAGTGCCTTAACCACTACACTGCTTGCTACCCCCTCATAGGGGTAACTTTATTTTGAGGAACTGCGCAAGTATTTTTCATAGTGGTTTCACCATGGTGTGTTCCCAACAGTAATGTATGAGAGTTCTGATTTTTCTTCTCACCAACAACACCGGTTTGTAATTTTTTAAAATTAGACGGCATCTCAGTGTGACGTGGTTATCATTTCATTGTGGTTTTTATTTGCATGTCTCTAATGCATGAGAAACAACAGTAAGCATCTTTTCATGTGGTTATTGGCCATTTGAATATCTTCTTCAAAGAAATGTCTATTCAAGACCTTTGCCTCCTTTTTAGCTGGGTTCCTAGTCTTTTTATTGCTGAGTTATAAGAAGTTTTAAAAAATATGTTCTGTATTTTAAAAAGTTAGTATTTAAAAAATACTAACCCCTCGTCTTATATATTTTTATTACTTATTTAGTTGTATTTATTATTATTATTATTTTAATTCACCAGAGAAGGATGGGGGTCGTAGTGAGGGACTAGTTCAAATCAGCCATGCAGGAGTCAAGCATCCCCACATGCCACCTACCGGCCCCCTCTTATGTATGATTTCCAGTATTTTCTGTGTATTATCTTTTCACTTTCTTGATGGTGTCCTTCAACACATGAAAGTTTTTAATGTTGGGGCCAGCAGATGGCATAATAGTTAAGGCACGGGACTCCCACATGGCTGAATGCAGTTCGAGTCCCAGACCTGGTAGCTTGGAACTTATGCCGGGCTCATGTGCATGCATGCCCCAAATCCCAGGAGAATGGAGGAGAAGAGATTGCGGTGTGGCCATCCCCCTGGGAGGGTGATTTCTCACTTTCCCTCTCATGGTCTCTCTCTGGCTAGTACATTCACCATATGGCAAAAACCTTAAAAATAAATAAACAAATAATAAGCCAAGGAGATGAATGACAGACGACTCCCAGGGGTCTGATAATCCGAGTGGATGAGGCACAGAAAGGTGAGGCCTGGAGGGTGGCATCGAGAGTCCTGTGGGAATGAGTTCAGTCTGAGAAGCCAACGGGCACTAGTCACTGTCACATGGGCTGCTGGACAGGAAGTGAGGATGCAGGGATGAGGCCAGGTCTGGTGCCCACAGAACCCAGGACGGAGAACAGAAGGGACACGCCAGGACCCCTCTTGCCCTACCCCCACTTTCCCTCCCACCAGCCAGTGTGTCTTTCCTCTTGCTATCCAAGATGACATGGTAGAACCAGCAGTTAGCGTAATGGCTATGTCGCTGGACTCCCATGTAGTCGACCGCGGTTTGAGCCCCAGACCTGGTGGCTTAAACTCATGCCGGGCGCGAGTGCGTGCGTGCCCAAGATCCCAAGAGGAGAATGGAGGAGAAGGGATTGTGGTGTGGCCATCCCCTCTGGGGGGTGATTTCTCACTTTCTGTCTCTCTTTCTCTCTCTCTCTTTCTGGCGAGCACATGCGCCCTGTAGCAAAAACCTCTCCAAAAAAAAAAAAAGATGGCCACGGGACTGTCTACCCACGTTCCCTGACAGACCACTGAACACTCACGTCTTCACTCCCCAAACCTTAATAGGGCACGTGCACCCGCCAGAGAGAGAGAGAGAAGTGGGGAAGGACACAGCCCCGCCGACACAGTCATGCCTCCATCCTTTCTCCTGTCTCTCCATCCTGTCCGGGTTTGGGGATGCACATACGCACGGGTGTCTGTCATGTTACTCAGGCCGCCCGAGATGGGCTTTGAACCGCAGTCAGCCATGTGGGATCTGGTTCCCTTAATCACTAGCCAATGGGGCTGGCCCCACCCCCGCGACTTCTTCAGACTCCCCTAGCCCAGCTCCGGTGACCTCAGCGGCAAGCCGAGCCTCCTCCATGTCTTTGGTTTCGATCTCACTTGACCTCTTCACGGCTTGACGTGCCAACCATTTCCTCCTTCTCGAAACGCCACTCTTCATCTCGCCCCGTGATCGCACGCTTGCTCGCTCTCCTTGCCCTCAAGCATGCCTTCTTGGTGTTCAGGCTGAATCATCTTCCTCCCGCTGACCCGGGACCGGAGCACCTCCTGGGGCTCCACATCTCCCCCGGCCACTCCCGGCCGGACGGCGTCCTCAGCCACGACGCAGTGGCGGCACCACGTTTACGTCTCCGGTCCCTCCTCTAGGCTCCGAATCCGAATGTCCAGCGACCCGCGGCCGCCCCATCCACCTCGTTCACTGTCGAGAGCTGAATCGTCACTTCACCCAGGCCTTTGTGATCCTCCGGCCACTGCCCAAGCTGGAAGCCTAGACATGGTCCTCCCTGTTCTGACCATCCCCACACCCGATCAGTCGCCATCTCTCAGGGACTCGATCCCCTGCTTCTCCGGCCCACCTGCAGCGCTTCCTCTCTGCTGTCGCCGTCACGCTGGCTGGTTCAGCTCCTCACCTCCGGGCAGTTTGAGTTTCCAGTACCCGTAGAGCTGGAGTGTGAAGGAGAGAGAGAGAGAGAGAGGTGTTAAAGAGTGCAGGCCAGGGACCAGCAGGTGGTGTGGCGGTTAAGGCGGCTGGATCGCGTGGCCAGTCGTGTGGTTCAAGTCCCTGACATGGTAACTTGAAAAGTCACACCAGACATGTGTGTGCACATGCCCAAAATCTTGGAGGGCAGAACGGAGGAGAGGGATCGCAGTGTGGCCTTCCCTCCTGGGGGCGCTCCTCACTTCCCCGCTCTCTGGCAAGCACACTCTTTACCAATATTTTTTAAAAATAATTATTTTATTTATTATTATTATTTTAA